ATCTATTGAATATATTCTACAGTTTTTTGTTGTATTACAATTCTTTATAAATTAATGCTATAAAACACGATTTAATAATAGGAGAAGATATGATATGCGAAAAGACCCAAAAGTGTATCCATTTTTATTTACTCAAATTATTTAAGATTTGCTGAAATTATATTCCTGGGAAAAATGAATTCCTCTCGAGTATACATAATTGGAGTATATTTGTGATCTAATAGTTCATGTAGTTCATTTGCTCCATATAGTTTCGACTCCTAGATAGTTCCTTTGAATCTCATTCTTTCATTGTTCTTTATTGTTTTTTCTTCGCTAATATAGTTTCGTGTTGATAAAAATGAAATTTAAAAAACTGATTTTAAATAATTTCTATTTAGTTTAATAACCACAAAATATATTTCTAAATAAATATATTAAAAAAAATTAAATAATATTACTATTTACACAATAATAAATTGATGAACGTATGTTTATATATTGTTAACAATGTGACAGCATTTGAAAAAAGAACGAAAACGAATGAAGAATGTGGGAATAAAGGAACGAGATCAGAAAAAAGAATGAAATCGAAAAGGAACGATATCAAGGAACAACATTAATTAAAGAACTGGAACTAGTTTCGATCGTTCCTTTTTCAGAATAGTCCCAATGAAATAGTTCGTTCCGGAACTATCCAACTCTAATATACGTATATACCAAATAAAACCTCATAGAGGAGGTTAATCCGACATAGAGTTTTAACCTCATCTATAAGGATTTATTTGACATATGACAATTTAGATCTACTGGATTTAAAAAATCCTGTCTAATGTAAACGTACTATAACCCTGCAAAAAGTTCGAATATACATGTCATGGTCTATTAAATAAGGTCTACCGAGTGCCGAAGTCATGGCTTTGTCTTCTCCTGCTATCAACATTTTAATCGCGAAATACCAACCAGAACAGCATAAAAACTAAAAATATCTTTCAAAATAACGTAATGATAGTAATGTGCACAAATATTTTGGTTCTTATAAAAATATTTTTTGTTTAATTATCCTTTAAGTCAATGAAGATTTCAAATTCACCTCCTTGTTAACCTTATAAATAAACCTTGGTACAAGTCGTTTAATATTATTTTGGAATATAGCATTTCATATTTCCTTTTACCAGAATTACATTAGGCAATTTCACTTGCGGCAATTGTCAGTTTGTGGGCGAGAGTGGTAAAGGGTTGTCATTCCCCTCAAATCTGCCACAAAATAAAGAATTGAGGCAATTAAAATTACCTAATGTAAATTAGGATATTAGGATAATGTAAATTAGGGCAATTGCTTTACTAGAGACATTTAAACAATGTATTCTAATTTATTCATTTTGGTAATTGACAATTGTCTGACACATTTTTGGCATTCAAAGTAAAACGAGTAATCGATTACTGCACATCCGTACAACACTGCTAAAATTGCTGCCTTAAAGATAACAGCTAACAGCTTCGCAACAGGAGAGTGAATTCGTTGTGAATGGTATAACTCCCTAAACACATATTTGTGTATGAAAAAATACAATAACATACCTATTTATGAATAGTTCAAAATCTTATCGCCAACAATGTGAACAATGATAAGCTTGCTACTTTGCAGATATTTCTTAACTTGAAAAAACACATACACACATAGCCATGGTAATTACTCTGATAAGAGGCGTGTGTGTATGAATAGCAGTCCATCTATATAAACAATACGTGAAGTATTGAATTGTTTACATAGAGTTTACACATACGAGTATACAACACTGATAATGACCGAATGAGGTATTTAATAGATTATTTTCTTTTTCGTTATTGTTGTTAACGATTTCCTAAATAGTTAAATTAAATAATCGTATTATGTATAACTAATGTTGTTGAAAATTTGCCATCTGAGTTTGATTGCATTATGAGAAAAATTTTATTACAAAAGGGTTTTGTTAAAAAAATTAAAATACAAATTAATCAATTTAAAATATATAATTTATAGTACGTTTACATTGTACCGGATTTCGTTAACCCAGTGTCAAATTCATTGTATACATGTCAAATAAATCCTCATAGAGTTGATTAACCCGGTAATGTAAATGCCGTTTTAAGCAAGTAATTGAAGGTACGTTTAGATTTGCGAAATCCACTCGATCTCAAATTTCAATTCCATTGCTTATACGTCAAATATAATCCACTGAATTTGTGAACAGGATTATCGTGACGTATACGCAATGGAATTGACATTTGAGATCGAGTGGATTTAGAAGTCTAAACGTAGTCTGATTCTCCTCTATTTGATCATTCTGCAACGAACTTTTAATGCTAATTATCAGAGTTGTAAATAATATTAATATTCGATTCACATATCCCTACACATCTTCGCAAAATCCGCAATTATTTCCCAATGTGTTGGACGTTTTTGTTATTTTTTTTATTTCCCAAAAGGTTCAAATTTTATTACTATTATACATGATTCTAAAATATAACCTATCGCAATACCAAATTTGAAGAACACTGATCGTGAACAATTTATTGTACAACTTTTTTCTGTCTGTTTGTTGGTTTTGTTGGCGTTTACGTCACATTACCTCATACAGGGTCAGATGTTAACAATTAATGCCAAATTTTTGGCGACTTTTTTGGGTTCTTTGAAAATCAAAAGAAGAAAAGAATGCATGATTGCAAAAAACAAAAAAAAAGAACAACGACGACAACAAAAAACAAATGTTAACCAACAAGAACACCACCCATCATTGCGTTAAACAGCCGTTTCGTTTTTTATTTCATCTTGCAATTGTGTCTGAAGACAAAAGGGGGACCGCCAAAACAACAGCGCTATGCCAAAAACAGAGAACATGAAATATACATACGAGGGCAGATCGGAAAGTTCTTAGCCTAGCACAAAAAGCGCTGTATAAACAGAAAAAAGTTAAGGAAATATCCATCTCTGTTATGAACACATGTTAAATTTTGTTTCGATCTGGCAACTCTTTCATAGAGAAACATGTGTTCAAAAAAGACGCATTCTATATAATGGAGTTGCCAGATCGAAACAAAATTTAACATATGTTCATAACAGAGATGGAAGTTTCCACGACACTGAACTTTTTTTCTGTTTATACCTCGCTTTTTGTGTTAGGCTAAGAACTTTCCGAACTGTCCTCGTACACACATTTAGTTTATAATGTTCGTTGAGAATGGTCGGTTGGTCGTGTGATGTTTTATTTAATTTTTTTTTCAAGAATTTCGTGAATTATATTCCCTCTTCTTCTTCTTGTTGCTATTGTTGTTATTTACATAGTTTACGAAATCCGCGCGTCATTGGCACATGAGAAAGTGGAAAGTTGAAAGAAAAACAAAAACAATCCAAGAGAATAAAATTGTATTCAAAACAATAACAACCACAGATTGAAATATAAAATACAAAAAGTCATCGAAATATACGAACTCTTGAAACAAATGTACATGTGTTTTGATTAATAAAAAAAAAACAATTATTTGTATTTAAATTTACTGCAAATATATACGAAATAATTGATAATGGCTTCAATTGATCAACGAGCTAAATGAATATCATTTTCAAGATTATTTTAACATTTTATGCGGTTCAGCAAAAGAAAAAAAAACATTAATTACTTTTCAAATGAGGTAGCAACAAAAATAAACAAAAATCAATCACTTATATGTTTGTTTAATATATAATAGTTGTGTGTTTTCTAACCTGCAATATAGTACTATATTGAATTACTTACTACAAGACAAAATTGGCCTAGCAGCAGCAAGTGGAAAATCTAGTAATCGCCAGGGGTAAAAAAGTCAAACAACTTCCAAAATTCGCGCTTTAACAAACGATACACACACATAAATCCAAAACAAAAACCTTTGTTTTTGTCTCGATTATCTGTCAAAATTTTCCTTATAATATTTCAAATGGTTGGCAACACTGCACATCGAATTCAAGTACAAAATTACCGACATTGACAGTTAATCGAGACATCAGCTGCGTTAATGGACTACATATTCATTGTGCCATGCATAAATCCACACACACACATTTTTTTGTTTATCAAAACAAAAACATCTGGTTTTTATTAGACCATCTGTCAAATTTTATTTAGTGCCTAATATTTCTCATGGTTGGCAACATTGCACGTTAAATTCAAGTAGAAACTATGTACTTTGACAGTTAATCGCATAGTCAGCTGTGCTAATGAAGTAAGCCGACTCGAATAACGAAATCCAGAAATACACCTTAATTGTTTACACATAACTTTAATCATGATTTAAATGTCAATCAGCTGATGTTTGTTAATATACATAAAAAATATTAATTTGCGCCTAAAATATTTATTTGCAATTAGAAAAATTACAACAATTGAAATGTTCCTGCATCATAAAATATAAAGTGTGATTTTCAGACTGCTGTATATCTGTTAAAATTATTCCAGTGACAGCTCAATATATTGCTTACTAGCGTACAAAAGCATTTTGGTGAGAATTTATCACAAAAAAAGTTATTCGTGATGGAATTCAAGTATCATAGTGTGATTTCTTTATATTTGGCTGGAAAACCACAAGTGGCTATCGTTAGAGCACTCCAGCATTAAAATGTTAATAAATCTTTTCTGTCTCGTACCATCACTTGTTACCGTGATATAGCGTATCCCGACGTTAAGGAAGAAAACAGCAACATTAGCAGAAATGGTTCGAAAAGTAAAGAAGCGACTTGATCGAAAACCGCGTCGCAGTGGCTGAAAAATGGCTCGTGAGCTGAACATATCGCAATATTCCATTCGGCAATTCAATGGCTCGGGGTAAAGCCATTGAAATTCCAAAAAGTGCTAGAACTTACACCGCAACAGAAAGAAAATAGACTCAAAAGAGCTAAATAGTGGCTTCGCTTGGCCGAAAGTGATGAACTGCCGAATTTGGTTTTCTTTGATGAGAAAACATTCGTTGTCCAGCAGTTTGTAAACAAACAAAATGATCGTGTTTACTGGTCCATGGTGATGGTGTGGGCCGCCATAACAGCCGATGGTCGCTCTTCGCTCGTATTAATCGACCGTGACATCAGAATAAATGCCGAATGATTTAAAGCCTTGGGCACGCAAACATTTTGGCCGCAGACCTTGGACATTCCAACAGGACTCAGCACCATCGCATGGCTAACCCAAGAATGTTTACAAAATGAGGTTCCTCGCTTCATTTCCACCGCACAATGACCACCAAAATCTCCGGATACCAATCTGTTGGACTATTGAACCAACCGGAACCACCAAAATCTGAAAGCTTATGATGGTTTAAACGGCATTTACATTATAGCTTTTTGTCAGGATAACCTCCTCCATCAGAATTTACTTGACATATATGTAATGGAATTGAGATCAGGTCAGGTAATACTCAAAATGGTACATCTATCAAAAAAACATACATTTTCTAAACCTTTTTAAATATTTTTCGCACTTGGTGTAGAACTTGTTACTATTTTGACCAACAATGTGTGATTGTTGGTAGAGTTGTACAGTTCACAAAATAACTACTTCAAAAGAACGATTCACAGGAAATAGAAAGTGAACTAGGTTTTACTTTTTAAGAGGGAACGAGAATAATCGTTCAATGAGTAATTCAAATTGTGAACGTTTTACGGACCTAATTCGATTTGGTCTAAATAAAAGATCGCGTTTTATTTTATATATTGGCAAACCATGAAGGCAGTTATATTCCTTAAGTATTTTTGTGATTAAAGGCAAGCGAATTTTTAAATTCTTCTGAAACTTTTCTTTAAAAATGCATATCTTAAATGTCGTTTACATTGAACCGGATTTGGTTAACCGAGTGGGTTTAAATTTTCAATTCCTTTGATTATATGCCAAATAAATGCTTATAAAGTAGGTTAACCCTGTAAAAAGTAATAATGTAAATGCCGTATTATGAGTCCATAAACTCATCTAAAACTTTTCTTTAAATATCTTCGCCATATAGGTTCATAAAAGTGTATGACACTCCAATAAAACAAATGAAAATAGCAAATTTGTTTTTATTTACACAAACTAATCTTCCAAGCTATTAACTGAACAATTCGGATAACGATGGACTATTAAAATAATGACCGAACTGAAAAAAAAAACAGCTGAATATAAGAGCATAATTGCAAACTATTGATCAGCTAAATGACCTAAATAGAACAACTCTTTTTATTGACTTTCGTGATTGAATATGACGGAACGAACTAGTTCAATATTTCGAGAAAAGAACAGTCGGAACTAGTTCAACCATTGTTCAGTTTTATAGTTCATCCAGATTATATAGTTCCTTTTTAATTTCGTTTATTCCCATAATTTTTGCTAATAAATTTTGCAATGTGTTTGCTTTTTTTAACAGAAAATGAATCAGTACGAGTTATGTGGACGAAAAAAAAGAGAGAGATTCAAATGAACTATTTAAAAGTTCGAACTATATGCAACGAAGGAAATAGTTCTTGTCTACAAAGTGAACTGGAAGATCGATCGGCTCAATCATATGTCATTCACTGACACATTCCTGCAGAAACAGAGTATTTACGACTAGTCATAAGTTTAGTAGAATCCTTTTCCCTGAATTTTTAGATAGAGAATGATCATAAGAACTATACAGAAGAAGAAAGGGACGAGATCGATCGGCTCCGTGAATTAGATTGCCCGTGTAAAAAGCCCAAAATTGGTCTTACTATGAAGACAATCGAACATTTACAATGTTCTACACAAGGTCAAAAATTAAGAATGACTTTTCCTTAAATAATAAATAAACGCTGCAGATGTATATCACATAATCATAACCTTACTTTAAAGTGCAAATATAACAGCTTATCTTTAAGAATAAGAAAAATACATATTTATCTTTCCTATTTTTATCTAGTCATGTTTATTTTGATGCTTCTGATAATATTAAGAAATTTGTCTTATCATAGTTTTTTTTTTTCATGTCACATACGAATATCAAATATTGCAAAAGTTTGTTTCATTTTCGCTGCATTAATATCTAACTAAATGACAAGTATTTGTTTAAAGTTTTGAATGTGCGCTCTTTTACTAGTTGCGTTTTAGATAAGATAGATCATGGATCAAAACACTTATCTGATAAGATATGTTTTTGTTTTGGAAAATATTTCGAGGTTATTATTAGATATGCCATCTCCCAATCTTATCATTTTATTTAGTCATCTTAGCGCAGAACAGCTACTGAAAATTCTGCAATATTCCATAATTCTGAGTTGCTTTCAATTGGGCGCCAAATTACGAATGTCTGCAATTTATTTGATTTCATTGCAGACCTCAAGAGAGTCCAATACCTTTCAAAGCGAAAATTTAAACCAATATAAGAGAATATCAAAGGAAACAAACTGCATAAAAAAGCCAATCGTGCTTTATCAAGAAAATTTCCGCTATACCTTAATTGGAATACATAATTTTTCACACCTTCGAACTAATAGTATTTCACGTTACCCCTAAATGCCAACCTCTCCTTAGTCGATATGCCTTGTTTTCTTGTATCTAAATTTGACATATGTCAGCTTATGTTTAATTGGATAAAAATACAAAAGACGGACTACCTATCAAAAAGGGTATGTCTATGAACCCTATAATACCAAATAGCAAATCAACAAGATATGGAATAATCTATTTAAATCTTAGATGTCATGAAGTGAGAACAATAAGAAGAGTAAAAATTGGAAAAAGACGACCTCATATAAAATGTGCTTTTTGCTTTTCTTTTGCAAAAACTAAGGGGTTCTTTCCATTCATTGTTTCGATGGATGGATATCGAACTAATTAAAACCAATAACTTTATTGACAGCAAAATAATACAACCACAAAGCAAGTACACACACATACTTATTTAAATTTTAGATATTTTACAATAAGATGGGTACTTAATAATATAAAATAAAGATGTTGAAATCGGGATGGCTATATCCGTAAATAATATTTTAGAATATTTTAATAGGATTAGAAAGGAATATTAAGACATAACAATACGATTAGCCATCCCATAGGTCAATATACGGAGTACCACTTTATCGTACAACCATTGGGCGCCAACTTTTTCTATTGAAGTAATCGGGGAGGAACTTGCAGCAGAAGTGTGTTTCACTGCATTCTTATAATTGGAGAGGGAAAATTCTCTCTGCATGGAATTTATCCGAAAACCATACAAGAAGGGAATTCATTGTGTTGTGTGTCTCCTCTGTGTTCAAATTCAGTAGCAGCGTCCACAGAGAACTCGGAGAAATGAATACGTGGAGTTTTACATGATTATTGCATTGAGAGCTTTAACCATGGATCAACGCGCCATTGGAGCTAGTCCGCGCCATTGGAGCCAATTTAAAAATCCACCATAACGGCTTCACTGCCCTCTTGGTGAGTGGTCGAGAATATCTAAAAGTCTGCCTATCTATGGGTCAGGCACCCGCTTGATACTGCAACTCCATTTCGAGCCAAAACTCTTCCTGTGAAATCTTTGGGTTAACCAACAACCACCACATTTCACCCAATAAGGGCTGAAACCTCTGTTCACTTCCCCCTTGGTGAGGGGCCGAGGAGATCTACGCCTCTGTCTATCTATGGGTCAGGCATCCGCTTGATACCGCATCTCCACATCGAGCCGAAAATCTTCTCGCGAAATCTTTGGCCTAAGCAACAAACATCACATTTGACCCAATATGGGCTGAAACCTCTGTTCACTTCTCCCTTGGTGAGGGTTCGAAGAGATCTAAGCCTCTACCTTTCTATGGTTCAGGCATCCGCTTGATACTACAACTCCACATCGACCCGAAAATCTTCCCGCGAAATCTTTGGCCTAACCAACAACCACCACATTTCACCCAATAGAGACTGAATCTTCTGTTTCAGGGGCTCCAGAGAACTCGTGAGACATGCGTGTAAATATAGATGGGTAGTTGGCTAAGTGCCGTGTGACTATTCCACATGCTGGGCATCTCACTATCAATTCATGCCCAGTAGGATTTGAGGCGGTTGCGAAATCCTGATCTTGGCTGTGCTATGAATGATTGATGATCTTCGAGTATAGCATTTATACGATATTGTTCTACTGCACGGCGACTGCATCTGTCTGAATGCTATCCAGGCCTGAATAATTAGCCAGTTGATTAAGAGGCTCACGCTTGTACCTCAGTCTGTCACTGCTGCTATGGCGAGTGTTCGCTCTTTCGGTCTTATTGTTGTGTAAAATATTAAGGTTTATATATCTTACACTCTTTGAGCTTGAGAAGTTCTTCCGCGAAATCTTTGGGCTAAACAACAACCACCACACCCAATAGGGACTGAAACATTTGGAGGGGCTATGTGGAATAGGAGTTCTCAGGAATCTCCCACCATCAATTCATGCCCAGTAGGATTTGAGGCGGTTGCAACATCCTGATCTTAGCTGTGATAAGACTACTCGTGTCCGTCAAGGCAGCTGCTTCTCCCGTTTGCAATGCATGGACGGTTTCCGACATAGCATTCATACGGCATTGTTATACTGCCCGTATACTGTCTGAATGCTATTCAGACATGGCTAATCAGCCTGAGAATTTGTACCTTTTAACTTCTCTGTCTCTCTCTATCTAGAACGTGAAGATCTCTCGTGACGTCCCTGGGAGGAGGAAGTCTGTCAATATGGCTAAGGCAGGTGTGTTCCCGACGAGATAACACCCAAACAGATACTACACCGACAATGTTTAATTGTGACCTTGAAAGATGAACGGGTATGACCTTCGTCTCTTCAGGAAGATGGTTCATTGGCGTCATTAGCAGCGTATCATTTAAATTCGCGCTCCATACCTAACCACTGACCGGTCTATCGCTTTATAAAAGATCAAGGCCGTCAAAGCAGCTACTTCTACCCTCGGCAATGAATGATTGATGGTCTTCGAGTATAGCATACGGTATTGTTATACTGCCGGGCGACTGCATCTGTCTAAATGCTATTCAGGCCTGACTAATAAGCTAGTTGATTAAGAGGATCACGCTTGTACCTTTTAACTTCTCTCTATAGATCGTGAAGATCTCTCCTGATGAGGAGGAAGTCTGTCAATGAGGCTATGGCAAGTGTTTTCCCGGCGAGATAACACCCAAATAGATACAACCCCGACAACATTTGGTTGTGGCGATGAAAGATGAACGGGTATGACCTTCATCTCCTCATGAATATGGTTCATTGGCGTCATTAGAAGACGCCCTGTTGCAGTTCCCAAGTCTGAATATTCTTCAACAG